TCGGGGATGCGCGGTTTGGTGGGATGCGCAGTTTGGGGGGTTGCGCGGGTCGGGGGTGCGCCGATTGCGCGGGGTGCGCAGTGTGCGGGGTGAAGGGGTGCGGGACCCGGGGTGCGGGGGGGGAGGGGGCCCAGGGCGCGGGGGGCGGGATCGGGGGCGGGGGGGGGGGGGATGCGCTGGTTTTGCGGGGTGCGCAGTGTGGGGGATGCGCAGCTCCGAGGTGCGCCGGTTTTGCGGGGTGCGCAGCGTGGGGGATGCGGGAGGTGCCGGTGGCCGCGGGCCCTGAGCAGGACGGACCGCGGGGCTTCGTCCCCGCCCGCAGAGCCGCGGCCCCCGCACCCCTCCCGAGCGCGGGGGCCGGTGACCGGCGGGGCTTTGGCCGCTCCACCCGAACCGTGCGGTTTTCAGGCAGCTCGAACCTCCCCTGCACGGCTGGCCCTCGGTGGTTTCCTATCGGAAATAAACCTCCCCTTTTTTTTTTTTTTTTTGGTTTGTTTTTCTTTTTCCTGCAGTTCTTGCAAGTGCTGAAAAATGTCCGGTTTTCTGGAGAGCTTGAGGTGCTCGGAGTGCGTGGACTGGGGGGAGAAGCGGAACACCATCGCCTCCGTGGCCGCGGGAGTGCTGGTACTGCTGTGCTTGCCCTGCTGTCAGGCCCTGTAGGTGTAGTCAGCTGTCAGGAGCTAAAGATTATTAGAGCTTGGAAGGCTCCTCTCTTCCAGGTAACAAAGTGGCAGGATGAGAGGAAAACAGCCTCAGATTGTGCCAGGGCAGGCTTAGGTTGGATTTTTGCAAAAATCTCTTTGCTGGAAGCATTGGGACAGGCTGCCCTGGGCTGTGGTGGAGTCACCATCCCTGGAAGTGTTCAAAAAAATGTGTGGATGTGGCACTTGGGGACACAGTTTAGTGGTGAACGTGGGGCTGTGTTAGTGGTTGGACTCCACCATTGTGGAGGGCTTTTCCAACCTTAACACTTCTATGAAAAGGAAGAACAGGGATACATTGTCCTTGTACCTAGCAGCAAAGTTAAGAACAAAATCTGTTCTGGGTTCTTGCATCCACATGTTTCTTAAGCTTCACGGAGTAACTGTTGGAGTAGGGAAGTCTCTGGCTTTGCATTCAACCTTGTTCCCAAGCCAACAGCAAAACCAGTTATACCATCACTTTACCCTGTTGGAGATCACAAGAATGATTTTATATATTGTTATTTTTTTCCTAGAGCAATCTTAGATATTGTAAAAGGGCTTGTGTCTGTACTTTAAGCCATATTCCTTCTTTTTTTCCCTAGTTTTTTACGGGCTGGTGGATAATCATCGATGCAGCTGTGAAATACCCTAAAGTGGAAGACTTCAACCACTCCTACCATGCCTGTGGGGTTATAGCCACCATTGCATTCCTGATGTAAGGGCCATTCCTTGATCAGAGCTACACACTCCTAGAACTTACTTTGTGCAATTAATAAAAGGCTTCAAACGGAGGGGATTGATCCCATTTTCTCCCGTTTTTCTCCCTCAGGATCAACGCGGTGTCCAACGGACAAGTGCGGGGGGACAGTTACAGCGAGGGCTGCCTGGGGCAGACAGGTACAGATCTGGGAATCCACTGAGCCTTGGAAAAACTGGGAGAGCTGTGCCAGGGGGTGCTTTGTGTGCCTGAGACAAGAGCCACGACGTCCATCCTCAGACACAGGCGCCAAACATCCCTCTCGTGTCGTTCCAGGGGCTCGGATCTGGCTGTTCATTGGGTTTATGATGGCTTTTGGATCTCTCATTGCTTCCATGTGGATCCTTTTTGGAGGCTACGTTGTTAAAGGTAAGGCCTGACCCGTTTTTGGGAAGTTTAAAATATTTGAAATGGCTGTTGAATTTTAGAGCTTATTTTTAGATAGTTTCTAGGCAGTCCCTGTTTGAATATTTTAGTTCCCTCCACACCACTATCCCATTGTATTAACACTGTGAGGGATTTTATCTACTTCTAAGTCACAAACTTCTGACTACCCTCTAGAAACACAGGTCTTGCTCAACTGGGAACTGGACAAATATAATTAAACTGCTGCAGTTTTATGGGAATAATTCCCTGGGTGAGCACTTATTCCCAGAACAAAAATTACTGAGTTTGTGAATATTGCTTCCAGAGCCTATATGCTAAATTAGCAAAAGGTGTCAGAAATGGGATATGCTTGAAAATCACTTCCAAAAAAATTTACAGAGATTTTTTTTTCTTTTGTTAGAAAAACCAGTGGTATACCCAGGAATAGCTGTGTTTTTCCAGAATGCATTCATCTTTTTTGGGTAAGCCTATCTTCCTTTGTTTGTTTCTTATCTAATTTCTTTTTAATGACAAAAACTGAAACTTGCTGTAATCTGGTTTTTCCTTAAGCCCCGTTTTGTAACCAGACCTGTGTGAATAAACTGGTGAAGGCAGCAGATCTCTGGGATCTGTCTGCACAGGGTTTCGTGCAGGACAAAGAAGTAGATTTGCAAATACCACAATTTGCTCCCTGAAATCATGTTTTTAAAATAAGAGGGGCTTGATTTGCTCCTTTATGTGCTCATTATGTCCTTTTATTCTGTTTCAAACAGAGGACTGGTCTTCAAGTTCGGTCGCACGGAAGATTTGTGGCAGTGAACTCCCCTCTGGAAGTGCCCTGGCCAGGCTGGGTTTTAACTGCACACTCCCCAAATTTTGTAAAAACCATTTTGTAAACCGTGACCTTCCATTATGTCAAAAGATAAATCAAGGAAAGCTGAAAGCACTAAAAATTCCAGCTCTATTCTGTTTGATTTTTTTTTTACTCTTGTACATCCACTTAAATGTTGTGATGTTTTTTGACAAATGTAAAATTGCCACAAGTAACAGTGGAGTCACTTTTCTGATACATTTGCTACAAATAAACAGGATAATGGTATATGGATGTATTGAACCAGCTGTTTCTATGACGTTATTTACGAAGAAAAACTTACTAAAATGCTTTAAACCAACTTTTTAACGTATATTTATTACATATTTCCTATATTCAGACAATATAACCATTTCTTCAATTTCAAAGGTTATTGGTGTGTGGCTTTTCTTGCATAATATAGAACTAGGCTGCTTTGGGATTTTTTTTTTTACCCCTCTCTGAATATTTAATTTATCCTATGGTGATAATGAGGAAGTCTCTGGCAAGTAACAACTTACTGTTGCTGGGGGTGACACTGGAGAGGCACAAATTAAATAGTGGCTCTAGATGGAAGTAGTTTATCCACAATGCTTGTGCTCAGCTATTTTCTAACCACTGTGAGAGAAAAGGAAGAGCACTCTTCAGATGGAATTCTCTCTCTGGAAAAAAATACTGCTCAGACAGGGAGAGTTCTGCTCCTGTGTCTGCCCCTTTCTTGCATTCACCCAGGTTAGTTGCTCAGGAAATCAATGGTAAGGGAGATGGAATAAAATATTAGTCACTTAAAGACAGCAAACAGCAGTTTGTGTTGCACAAGTTGGGTTTGGTTGGTTCCTGGGAAGTTAAGAAAGTGAAGAACACAAGCTGAGCCCGGATCACACTGTTACTCACGTAGTAAGTGGTGAGTTAACTGTGAGGTAACACTCTGTGTGTCCAGGCTGGTGGAAGCTGTGGGCAGCTCATTAACTCAGCAGATCACTGGCTCCTTTGTGACCTAGAAATAAAGAAAACTGGCCCTTCCTCTGCAAGGAATTTTTCATTACTTGGAACCTGTTTCATTTCTGTAACTGTAGGGACCTGCTTTGCTCAGCACCTAAAGAATGAATGAGGTCAGTGAGCATCAAAGAACAGCCTCAATGTCCTCAATGTCATGTGTTTCCTCATTCATTTTTAACAAGTGTGCTGAATAAACAAAAACAATCCCATTTTCACTTCTTTATTAGGTAAGCATTTTGGAAAGAGTTTTTCTGTGTCAGCTATTTTTGAGACGAAGAACAAACGCCGAGGATCACAATCCACTTATAAACAAGGGTACACTTGCAGAGAATCCTCTGTGTGATTAGGCCCCAGAGTCCCCTGCTTGTCTTGGAATAAGCCACTTCCAAAATTGGGTCTTGGCATTGGTTTCAGGCGGCTCTGAGGATTATTCCCTCAGTCCCCTCAGGTGGCAGCTGACCCTGTGGAGGTACAGGCTGTCCCTACCCAGACACTGACCTGAGCTCTGCTCTTATTTTAGATTTGGCAGCAAATACCAAATTGATTTCAGAGGCACCATGCACAGGAAGAACAATTGAACTTCTTGCCATCTGAACTTCCAAATAGCCCGAGCCAAGTAATGACAGATTTGTCTTTAAGCAGTCAGAGAACTCAAGGAGTTCAGTCTGGCAGGATGCAGAGTTTGGCCCAGATCCAGCTCACCCATCAAATCCTTCCTAAACAAGGCCTTCAACAGAATCAATTTAGCTTAAAAACACGTAGTTGAGTACTTTTCCAGATAAGAAGTGCTCCTTGAAAAATTACACTTTGAAATACATAATTTTGGCTTTTAAACTTGGGAGCTAAAAATAGTTTAAAGTTTCCAAGCATTTGGATTGATAAGCCATTACAGCCATGAATGCAGTCAACCTTTTTGTACATATCTTATTTAAGGTAAGACCAACAAAGCAGAAAAGCTAAATGCAAGTTTGCATCTGTGAATTTACACTTAGTATCTTTAGAGAATAACTAGTTTAATACTAATTTTTCGTGCCTCCATTGGGATGGCTTTTGAGGGCCTGGGAACTGGTATTTCAGTGCTCTTTCAACCCATCATAGCTACTCATTTTCTCTAGTGACAAAGAGGAAAATCTTCTCTTGGTCAGCTGGGATCTTCCACTCAAAATCCAACAGCCAAATGGGGAAACTGTGAAGACAAACATTCTTGTGTCAGAACATTTTATGCACGAAACCATTGTACAAAAAACCCCAATGGGAAAACCTGATTAGAAGCTTATTTTCATCCATTTCTTTTTTCTGTAATTCAGATACAGCATCTCAACAAGCACCTACAGGTGCCCAAGGCCTGTGTTTGTGCATCAAACAAAATGTGCTGTGAAATGGAATATCCCCTTTTTTTATATGTTTAATTCAATACCCGAAGTTCTTCATCAAGGTGCTAAATATACTCTCACACAGTTAATTTTACATTTAAACTTACCTCCCAGTAAAACTGGTCTTCGAAGTACTTTGATACAGGGATGATCTTAAGCAGTCTGGTGTTCAAGATAAAACCTATTTGTAAAAGCAGATATATCCAATATAAATATAAACATCAGGAAAAGGGGAAGATTTTGTGTAACTGGAAGTTTCTTAGTAACATGTATCCAAATGTAACACAGATCAAAATACAAAGTCAGAACTGAATGCTTCAGCAGAGCCCCTTGACTGAAGCTGACCTTTAATACAGAGAGAAGCTTGCCAGGATCAAGGCTTATTGATATTAAAAAGTAATTGCTTTAGGTAAAACCCAATTAAACAGCCTGCTAGACTCTAAAACTACATCAAAAACATTAACTTCTTGCATGAAAAATGCCTGTGTATTTAAAACAATCTGGCTTATCAGCATTGTTAGATTGGGGTCTCAGATGGATATATCTCGATTTTTAAACAGTTGGTTAAGCACTGAATGTTTGGTTCTTTTAGCTGAATAAGGATCTGCTCAACTTTTTAATTACACTCAAGGTAATGCAAAGGTTTTAGATCACAAAACAATCATTTTAAGAGTGTTTTTCACAGCAATTTTCATCAGCCATTTCTGTTTTACTCAAGACAGAATTAACAGCTCTAGAAAAGCAGCAGCTGTCACAAAACAGAACATCACGTGAGAGCCACGTGAGCCCTGCTGATCCCAAACCACTCCTGATCAAAGGCCTGGTGCTGGAATGATGCAGCTCCTGACGTTAGTGAATCTCTGTACATTTACACCAACTGGCATAAGAAGTGACAAGCCCTAAAATAGCATTTTCTGTCACCAAGACAATGCCCAAATGTAAAAATATTTTCATCTTCACACGTCTCCTGTGTGAAACGTGAAGGCAGCTGTTAAGCCTGGGTTAAAATAAACTTGAGCACTGAAAGAATGGTGCTGCTGGGTTATTGATGTGCAATAACATCTCTTCTTCAAAAGGCTGGCTGTGAAGACCCCCTGGCATTCATGTTTCTGTGGCTGCTTTACAAATAATTTACCCAGAGAAACTTGCCCTGAGGAAACACGGAAGAAATCACTGGAACTTGTGTTTCAATACTGACCTGTGATAAAACCTGTTATCAAGGCAAGGCTGATGGTCTGGCAGAAGGCACCAATGTGAAGAAGGACCAAATAACCCAGACTGAAAAGGAAAACAAGTGTTTCACCTTTTACAGTTGCTGAATTTAGCATCAGGACTGTGAATGAATTCATATCTAAACAGTATTTTACATCAAAACCTCTCATCAAAACTGTTATTCTCAAATCTCTCTGCAGCTGCAGTTGGATGTTTTAGGAGATCCTACTAGAAAACTAATACAGACTTCAGGGGACATATTTTGTTCTTAGAAACCATCACTGTGGTACTAAAATTTCATTAAATTTGTTTCAGTAAGAACATGACTAGAAGTATAAGGCCCTCATGCTGCACTCTGATTTCTGCCTCCCCTCTCTTTGCACACAAAGCTCCTCAGAACACCTCAAAAGCTAAAAAGAGTCTTGGAAGGAGGCTTTCATCTCCCATTTCTGCTGTATTTAATGTCAAATATAAAGGGAAACAGAAAAGAGGACCCAAAACTGACACAAAAGTTTTGATCCAAAGTCTGCTCAACTCTCAAAGCCCTTTTTTACTGACCTTTTGGACTTCAGGGATTATCTTGGGTTATCTGGTATAAAACAATTTATCTGTGATGACACTCAGGCTTTCTGTAGGTATGAGAACTCTTCTCAGGGCACGCTGCAATAATGATCATTTAAGCTTATTATTTAATAACAAAAATTTAAGTACCTTGATGAATTAGCCCATTCTCTTATGACTAAGAGAACAACTTGGGCAAGAGCTCCAAGCACAGCAGGCAAACCAAAGGTGAAATGAACTCCAGAAGTATCATGAATTTTGAGAGGAGGATTCAAGCATCTCTGGGAAGAAGGAAAGATTTAATTGATACACAGGAACACAAGTTGATAGTTGCATATTGCCTGTTGCAGACCTGGAGATTTGCAAGTTCCAATCCTGCACTCTGCTCAAAGCACCTCGGGTTTCTTAGTTTTAATCTTTTTGAAAAAGAGGTTTCCCCTTGAGGTATCCTACATTGGAAAAGAAGTTTATACAGCTTATATGAAAACAACTTCAGGTTTTGAATACTACCTGTAAACAGTGAGATCCTAATATGGTGATGGCACTGCCAAGCAGACCCAAAATCATGGCAATCCAAGGATGACTGATCACCTCTGCTGTAAAACTAACGATGACCCCACCAGCCAGTGCTGCACTGTGGATGTGAGTCTGTAAAATAAAATAAGAACAGGAAGTTAAGGGACTTTTTATTTAGTGATAAAACAAAGGGGAATGGCTTTGAATGGAAAGAGGGAAGGTTTAGATTAAATATTAGGAAGAAATCCTTCCCTGTGAGGGTGGGGAGGCCCTGGCACAGGTTGCCCAGAGAAGCTGTGGCTGCCCCTGGATCCCTGGAAGTGTCCAAGGCCAGGCTGGACAGGGCTTGGAGCAACCCGGGCTAGTGGAAGGTGTCCCTGCCCATGGCAGGGGTGGAACAAGATGGACTTTAAAGTCTCTTCCAACCCAAACCACTCTGTTACTCTGATAACTGTCAGGCTGAAAGTCTGGACTTGTTTTTAGTTAGCAGCTATTATATTATCAGTCCATTACTGAGATTAACAGAAAAATCTTGTCCATGAAGGGATTTTCTCTCATGCCTTACCATTCTGAATTTCCCATCCTTTGAGGTCAGAGCAGACAACATGAAGGCAGTTACAGCACTCACTGCAAGGGCAAAGTAGGTGTTGAGGGCTGCTTTCCTCCCAGACTGAGTGAGCAGAGAATTGAAGCTTGGCCAGAACACCCAGAGAAAGACACAGCCTTGGAGACAAACACAAGAAACTCTCATTACCTGCTCTAAACCACAGTGAATCCATCACATCTGGAGTGCCCACAGTTTGCACTCACTGTAATTCCCAAACTGTAAAGAAAGGAAAGCAGACAGCAGCTGCTCCTCAGCCAAAAGTTCTGCTCCTTTTCATGGAACTGTGGAATTACTGTTCAAAACCAGCTGTGAGAGAATGAAAGCCAGGGAGGAAGGAAAACAGCTCCCATGGTACAAACCACTGTAAGAAAAACCCCAAGTGCACTTTGGTGTGTCTTTTGCCTTGGCTGCCAGTATGACTGGTGCTGGTTGTCTTGTCTCCTGGCAGGGTTTGAAGAGCAATGAGGATGAACTGAATAATAAGAACAGAATCCTCTCCACCTCTTTGATGATTCTTCCCAAGGAATCTGCCTGCTCAGTTGCTCCTTTCTGCCCAAGTTACCTCAGGAATTATCCAAGAAATAACAATATAATTACTCCAAATAGCAAACACTTGGTTGTAGCAAGCTGCACTAAAATTATAATGAAGGTTTAACAATGTCTTGATGAGTTAGATGAAAATACTTATCTTGAATTCTCCAGCAAACAAGAACTCCAGGAACACAAAAGAGCAGCATTTAAACTTCTTTTGCCTCAACTGGGCAAAGACTGACTAAGAATTAGACTCTGTGGACCCCTGCAGGAAGATCTTAGTTCAGCAGGTGGCAGTTACACAACAGAAGTCAAGGTAATGAAGAAACCAAATTGCTTCTGTAAGGACAAAGCTGGGACTCCCACACCTTCAGCCTGTCCTCACTCAGATCCTTTCTCGTGGGCCTGCCTGTATCACACTCCCCACCCTTCAGGAGGCTTTTATCTTTTCATTTACATTACTAGGCAGGGACTGCCTATTTATATCTCTGCACAGCACCTTGCAAACACAACCGAGCCTCGGCCCCAGCTGGGACTGGGAGCTCTACCAAAATACATGTTATAACATCAGCTTTGGCACACAGGCTCCTCACCAACGTGCCTAGACAAGCCCAAAGGGGACAACTGGACTGTGACAGTTGTCCAGTTCACCTGGAGAAGGAACAGTTACCCTGGTACAGCCTTTATGCTGAGGGTGACAGAAGCAAACTGAGCCACAGCCGTTGCAGGAGTGGCCTGGCAGGGAACGTGCTGAGAGTCACCAGCCCATTGTCAGAAACCACCAGCCACAGCAGCAGTTTTCTATGCCTGGCTGACTCACACCTGCATTTTGGATTCAAAACCTTCAGCCTGCTGTGCCCAGCCCCCCCAAAAACCTCCCTTATGTTCTCACTGCAACCTCTTCTTCCAATTGAGGTGCTGAAGCCAAAGACTTACCCAACATGGAGAACAAGTCTGACTTTGGGGTGCTCCTGTTCTTGTCCAGCCTTGGGGAGGGCTCAGGGAAGCAGGAGGTGACTGCCAGCCCAAAGTAGGCTCCAAACAGGTGCACATGCATCAGGCTGAGATGATCTCCAATCTGTATCAACAGAACATTCAAATTTGTGGTCTATTTAAGGCCACACGAAGCCTTTGATGCAGTTCCTGATACAGTTGTTCATGTTACCTCCCTATAAGCAACTTATTTTCACAGTCCCTCAGCTTATGCTTGAGTTATTTACATGAGACTGAGTTAGCTGAACTCAGTGCAGCTCATAAACACATGATCCATACATAGAGAGTTTGGGGTATGTTTGCAGGCCTGATGCTGCTGGACACCATTCCCACTGGAAATCTGCCAGGTTGAACTGGCACAGGGTAAAGTTTAAGGGCAATTAGTGCCTTAGCAGAGGTCAGGGCTTTCATTCATCTGTTGGGGATGGTCTGGGCATGGGCAAGGCCAAATGCACTGCACCCCAATCCATCAGATGAGCTCACCCTTCCAGGCTAAAAATACAGATATAGAGATATAGAGTGTGCAGGGTTTGGAGTTTGATATCCTTAAGCATAATCCCAAAGTCAGACTTCATCTTTTAATGAGAACACAGCCACAATCTGAGATAAAACACCCCCATGTTCCTGCCAGCAGAGCACCAAGAAACCAGCAAAAAAGGCAACGTTCTGAAGTCCCAATGAAATTTTCTCCCATGTATTTGGAAATCATGCCACAGTACCTCCAGGTATCTCCTGTTGATCCATCTGCTCACATAGAAAACTATTAATTCCACCAGTGTCATCACAATTAACTGCATGAGATTAGTCTTCCCAAGAACAGCTCCAGTGGAGATGACCACAGCTGTCATACTTATAAAAGCCTTTGCTATACTGCAAGAAAAGAAAGAAAAGGAAAAAATTATTCTGTATCAGGATGACAGCGGGGCCAATAAAGAATGACACGCAGTAAAATGCATTAAAAACCCAAAGCCTTCTAAAATGTCTGCAAATATGACTATGCTAATTCCCAAAAAGGTCCATACAACAAGGCATTAACCTCCATAAAGAGCAATCAGCAGTTCTGGATGATTCCAATTCTTAACATGAACTAATTACCTTTTCAGAATACCTTCATTTGCCTCTAGAGAAAAGAAAACTAATGAATCTTCTACCAACACAGAGAATTGGACACCAAGTACAATGATCAGGAGGTTGAATCCAGTGCTGCTAAACCCATATCTTCTCAGAACCATCAGGAAAAAGCCAAATCCAAAAATCACCATGTGGTTGACATCTTGAAAGTCTGCATGACAGAAAAGACCAAGACAGCAGTGAAATTATTAATGCAGACTGGATTTCTGCTTTAAAAAAAAACATTAAAAATCACAATTAACTAAGAAGCTTCCAGATAAATATTCAAGTGCCATTTAGTACTTGCAGAGAATTCCAGAGCTTTCTTCCCAATCCATAAGTAATCAAAAAACCAATACCTTTGACCCTGAATTTATTTTTACAAACTGCTCTGAATGGATGCCACAGGATGGGGGTTGAGGAGTCAAAAAGCACAAGAGAAATGAAGGACATTTAGTGAGGAAATTTGGACATTCAGTTTTCCTGAGGTGAATTTAAAGAGCTTAAGTTGAAATTTTCAGGGAGAGTTACTGTGAATGAGTGCTGATCCATTCCTTGAGGGCATTAGGGAGGAAAAGAGTTACAAAAAACCCCCTGTATGATGCCCTCATAGAAGGAACAGAAATTGCAGGAACAGTTTAACATGGAAACCAGCACTATTGCATAAAAGGGAAAGGCTGTCCAAGGTGGAAGCTCTTGGATCTGTAAGCCTGGAATTGTCCCTGGGACCTGCTAACAGTCATATTCTCATATGGTTGTGCTGGCTGGTTCCTACAGGAAAACACCAAACTGCTGGGGAAGTAGATCCCATTTTTCCAGCTGCAAAACAGGGAGGGTCACACAGGAATGTCCCGAGGAATCAGCTCGTATTTGCACAACACCATAAACCTGTCACACACCACAATCCAACAGCACTTCCAAGGCACAGAACACACCTCCAGACTATGTTTAAAGCCTTCATTCCACTGTATTAACTTCATTTATTTACCCCAAGCATTCAAATGGAAAGCGGTGCCATCCTGAATTCCCTGCTCTGTAACACAACAACGTGGCAGGGACTCAACATGGAGCAAAGTCGCCTCCATGGAGTCAAGACTGCCCCAAACAGGCAGCAGAAAACAGACCAAAAATGCAATTTAGTATCACCTGTGTCTTGGTTCACTGCCACTGCTTTGATATAAATAAATTCCCACCACACCAGGCAAGGTGGGGTGTTTAAAGGGCAGTAAGAACACTCTACTCCTCACTGAATCCCATCTCTGCTGCACGGCACAACAGGAGCAGGGATTATCCTTCCTTTCCCAGCAAGTCTGCCAGTCTTACCTGGGTAGGAGCTGTGTAGCCAGTCCAGACCATCATGTTCTAAGTTGACAAAGTAAGAGCGGGTGAGGAAAAGAACTTCCAGCAGAAGGATCACCCAGGGAACGCTGTTTCGGAAGTTGAGGTAATTGGAAGACATTGTGCACTCGACTACATCAGGCACAAACACATTGATGTGTTCTTTTTCCTATAAAAATGTTCCAGTAACCTCAAACCAATAGCAAAGGAGGTTTTGGGGGGTGGCAGGAATAAAAACTCAAAGGGAGATAAAAAGCCCAGGAGGCGTTGGCAAGGGACAGTTCCTTATCTGGGGCACGTCAGGAGCCCCAGTTTACCACAGCCGACATGGACTGAACTCAAGAAGTGCTTGTGAATGGAGACACATCCAACTGCCAGTGCTGTCATGCTCCAGGACACCTTCCATGCTCCAGGACACCTCCAGCTGCTGGTGAGCCTTGCAGCTCAGCTAAAAGGCAAGAAAGGAGAACACGGACTCCCAAGAGCAGGATGCTGTAGTTTATGCAAAACCATTATTTATTTATGTTGCTGGTGTCCACCCTGGACCCAATTCCCTTCATAGAAAGGTGGGGAAGGTCCTGTTGAGAGGCTCAGTGTGATTCTACAGCTCTGCAGCCACATCCCAAGGCACAGCTTCTCGTATGTGATGAATCCAACTCCACGCCAGAGAATCAGGAATCTCTGGACATGTCAAGAAAATGCAGCACTTCCTCTGCTACTTGTGGGATCAGTCTGTTGTTCATAGTATGGCCATTGAAACAGCTGCAGTGTATCCTCTGGAAATCCTTGGCATTCCCAGGCTGGGAAGGCACAGACAGACAGCACTTTTTATTTGGGAACCAAACCACAGACCCACAGCACCCCGAGCCTTTAATTCCCCCCTTGCCTTCACCCAGAGCTGTACCAACCCCTGTTGCTGCAGTGTGGCTACAAGGTACCTGCTGCCTTGGGGGTTCTGAGCCTTTTGGTAAACACAGGGATTTTGTGTTTGTCCTTGTTGTTGCTTTAAACCAGGAGCCACTAAAGGGACCTCAAAGCCCATCTCATTCCACCCCCCTGCCATGGGCAGGGACACCTTCCACTAGCCCAGGTTGCTCCAAGCCCCGTCCAACCCGGCCTTGGACACTTCCAGGGATGGGGCAGCCACAGCTTCTCTGGGCAACCTGTGCCAGGGCCTCCCCACCCTCACAGGGAAGAATTCCTTCCCAATATCCCATCCAACTCTGCCCTCTGGCTGTTCAAAGCCATTCCCCCTTGTCCTGTCACTATTTACCTGTATAAAAAGTCCCTCTATCTCATTTTTATAAGCTCACTTTAAGCACTGGAAGGAACATTTGTGTCCCCTCAGTATCCACGGTGCTTCTGGTAAACTGAACCCTCTTTATTCAGGCTGTTCAGACTAAAGGATTTTAACCACATCTCAGACATTCTGCTCTGAGGCCACTACAAACCAAGTGCTGAGTTGAGACACCAACAGTACCCAGAAATGGGTATAAATGTGCCCAGAAATGGGTATAAAGCCACCTGCTGGTGACAGAAACAACTACCAGAAAAAAAAATATGCAGGAAAATCCCAGTATACCTTAATTTTAGGACATTCCTCCTGCCAAACCAGGATATAGGGTACAATAATCCAAATCCTTGGACTCCAAGGTTCCCTGCCCATGGCAGGGGGTTGGAATGAGATGAGCTTTAAGGTGCTTTCCATCCCAAACCATTCTGTGACTCATACCCAGAATGACCCAGAACTCCATCCACAATTTCACCAGGGTGAAATGAACACAGTGAGCTCTTTTGGCACCTGTTTCTAAATCCCATCAGTGTTAACACTCGGGGAAAACACACCAAAGGCGAGGAATTTACCCACGTTTTCCCTCAGGATGACATGCCACCCTGTGAAGCTGACACTCAGATTCACAACTTAAACTCCCTCCCAAACAGAGAGACCAAAGCTCGGTGATCTCAGACAGGGTGATGCACAAAATAACTCCTATATTAGGAAGAAATCCTTCCCTGTGAGGGTGGGGGGGCCCTGGCACAGGTTTGCCCAGAGAAGCTGTGGCTGCCCCTGGATCCCTGGAAGTGCCCAAGGCCAGGTTTGACAGGGCTTGGAGCAACTTGGGATAGTGGGAGGTGTCCCTGCCCATGGCAGGGGGTGGGACTGGATGGGCTTTAAGGTCCCTTCCAATCCAAACCATCCCGTGACTCTGCGTTTCTAAATTAGAGCTTCACGACCACGACAACACCCCCATGACTCAGCCAAGGGCCGGGCAGCCTCCTGGGCCAGTTTTAACGCTGTACCGAGTCCCGCACTGCTCAGACTCAGCCCAGCACCGCCCACCCTTGTGCAGGGCGGCCCATTATCCCCAGGGCGGCCCATTATCCCCAGGGAGGCCCATTATCCCCAGGGAGGCCCATTATCCCCAGGGAGGCCCGGCAGGCCCACGGCCCAGCCCAGTCCCGGGGCACCGCCACCAGCCGGGCCGGGCGGGGCCCAGCCCACGATCCGGCCTCCCTCAGGCGCGGCGCCGCCATTGTTCCCCTCACGGCTCCCACAGACCGAAGGGGCCGCGGCGAGGGGGCTCTGCAGGGGCCGTAAGGCGTGAGCGCTCCCGGGCGCGGAGAAGCCCCTGCCGGGTTTCGAACCCGCAGCCGCGGGGGCGGCGCCGATGCCCGGCCGTGACTCGGCAGCGGCGGGACCCGCCCGGCACCGCCCCTCATCGAGCGCCCGCCCCCTCCCCACAGGCCGCCCTTAGGAACTGCCCTCCCATTGGCCGAGCGCCGGCTCCTCCCGGCCTCTGATTGGCCTATCCCCATCTTCGGGTCTCGCGTCCTGCGCTGCGATTGGAGCCCTCGCCTGTCACTCAGCTGTGTGCGTTGCTTATTGGCCGGAGCGGCCCATCAGTCATCCCGCGGGGTTATATTGCCCCCCGGCGGGCCGTTAGCAGAGGTCGCTCTGTGCGGGCGGCACAAACTGCCGCCGCTTGCCTTTGCACCTGGGACTTAGCGTTCCCTTCCCCAGCAGCCGATTTGCCAGGGAGGTTGTCAATCAAGCGTGAGGGGCGGTACCTCGGGGCTAGGGTGACAGAGGAAATTGGGCCCACCTTCTTCCGTTTCCGAGTGGATGGCTGAGCTGTCCTTTTATTTTTGTGCTCCTCTTCCATTGGGCGGCTTCCTTGTCGGTCACCACGCGGGGCGGGAACCAGCCCGGTAGGACAGTGGGTGGGCGGAGATCAAAACCCGTGCAGCGATTGGCTGGCAAAGCCGTCAATCACAAACCCTTCTCTTTGACTGGCTTCTGCGACCGTCAATCAAGGGGGTGGGCACGTCGCGCGACAGCACGAGGCGGAACTAACTTTCCGGCGTCGCGATTGGTTTACTGGGCCGTCTGTCTGCGTTTTTACGCTGATCATTGGTTACAAACGCTGTCACTCAGGCAGGCTCAGCTCTTTGATTGGCCAGTGCTAGCGGAGGCGGGGCGCTGCGCGGCGGCTGCGCAAGGGAGGGGGGGGACGCGGCGGGGAGGGGACGGACCAGGAATTATTTTTATTTCTTTGTTTCCCGGGGAGAAAAAAAAAAAAAAAAGGGGGGGTGAGGAAGGTAAAATAAAATAAAAAAAATATAGACCCGGGAAAAAAGGAAAAAACGTAAAATTAAAAAAAAAAAAAAACAACGAGAAGCCGCGTCGCGAACCCCCGGCGGGGGCGGATGGTGCTGCCGTGAGCGGGGCGGGCCGGGCCGCGCCGGGCCGGCGGGATGAAGCGGCGGAGCGCGGACTGCAGCAAACTGCGGCGGCCGCTCAAGCGGAACCGCATCACCGAGGGCATCTACGGCAGGTACCGAGCGGCGCGGGGACAGCGGCCCTGTCACCCCCCCACACACCCCTCACAGCGGCCCCGCCGCCGCCACGGGCCCCCCGCGCGCTCTCAGGGCGGGGGAGCTGCTGGCCAAGGTGCTGCCGGGGGGGAGGGAGCCGCCCTTGGGGGGTTCGCGCACGGCCCGGGGGCCTTCGCCGTGTGTCCCCTCGCCCTTCCCCGGGGGTGGTTTCTCGGCGGGGTCTCGCAGCTGGAGGGTCCCGGAGGTGCCGCTCACTGCGGCTTCACCTGCGCGGCCCGGGGAGGCTCCACTGTCCGGGGGTTCCTGGAGGTGCCAAAGCTGCGAGCCGCTCGCTGCGGCTTCACCTGGGGAGGTTTTTCCAGCAGGATCTCACAGCTGGGCGTTTCTAGAGGTGCCAAAGCTCAGAGCCACTCGCTGCGGCTTCACCTGTATCTCCCCCGGGCGGGAGGGGGGTGTCTCGTGTTTGGGGGTTCCCAGAGGTGCCAAAGCTCCGAGCCGCTGGCTGTGGCTTCCCCTGGGGAGGTTCTCCCAGCAGGATCTCACAGCTGGAGGTTCCCAGAGGAGCCAAAGCTCAGGGTCACACGCTGCAGCTTCACCTGGGGAGGTTTTCTCAGCAGGATCTCACAGCTGGGCATTTCTAGAGGTGCCACAACTCAGAGCCACTCGCTGTGGCTTCACCTGTATCTCCCCCAGGAGGTTTCCCCGGCGGGGTCTCACGTCTGAGGCTTCCTAGAGGTGCCAAAGCTCCCGCAGCTTCACCTGGCGAGGTTTTCCCAGCAGGGTCTCACAGCTGAGTGTTCCCAGAGGTACCACTCACTGCAGCTTCACCTTTATCTCCCCTGGGAAGTTTTGCAGGGGGGGGGTCTCATGTCTGGGGCTTCCCAGAGGTGCCAAAACTCCAAGCCACACGCTTCAGCTTCACCTAGGGAGGTTTTCCCAGCTGGGGGTTCTCAGAGGTTCCAAAGCTCTGAGTTACTTGCTGCAGCTTCACCTGTATCTCCCTGGGGAGGTTCCTCGGTGGGGTCTCATGTCTGGGCATTCCCAGAGGTGCCAAAGCTCAGAACCCACACGTTGCAGTGGTTCTGGAGCAGGAGAACAGCTGGGCTGGTGGCTCAGCCCTCTCGTGCAAAGGTTAAGAAAGTTGTTTTTCACGTGGTGATGGAGGTGCCTGTGCTGCAGGTCTGCAGTGGGAGCACATGAGAGCCTGGGGTGTAGCAGTGAGGGATGTGAGCAGGAATTTGGGTGGGAGATGCCTGGAGCAGGGGTGGATGATCTGGTGGTGGTGGGACCACAGCAGGTACTCGGCTCACCTCTGACCTCTAGGATGAGAAAAGGAGTAGTAGTAAAGTGAGATCCACGTGGGATGTGTCTGGGAATGCTTTCCAGGTGTTTGCATGCAGAATGCACTAAAACACTGATCCCTGCAGTTCCAGCACAGTTGTGAGCCTATTTTGAAGAGTTTTTTACGACTCTGCACTCCCGAGTACGCAAAATTTTATATGAAACACAACAATTATGTGTTTGTCAATAAAGAGGCGTTTGGGTCAGAAGAGGCTTTGAAGCTGCCTTGTGAAAGTTGTAGTAAGTGTGGTGGCCCATTTCTGTTTCTAGTTCGGTGAGGTTGATATATGCAGAGCCTGGAAACTTGAGCAAGCTCATACAATTCAGATGTTAACTTTGCATAAAGGAAACAGCTGATAGGGAGCTCTGACTGGAATAAAATTGTCACAGTGTGCTGCTTATCCTACTTGTAGTGAATCTCTACACGAGAGCACTCTAAAACCCTTGTTTCAGACTTCCAGGTTTTGAGAAAATGCTGCTTGTGAAGAGGAACATCCCTTGTGTAGAAATTCATATTCCAGATGACTGGTCTTGGGAGAATAATTCAGATATGTAAGGAATTGCTTATAATTACTTAGTTTTCACAAGTCATTCACAGTGATGTGCCTTTGAGGTGACTGGCAGGGAAGGTGGGGTTGAGAGAAGGAGGGCAAACCAGAATAAGATGAGAAGAGCAGCAGGTGATGAGTGTGTGGAGCAGGTAGAGCTGCTGTAGGTGTGTGAACGGCTCTGGCTTCTTGCACAAACTTCTCCTGGAATGTTACAGTGCAGAAATGGGATTTTTAGCCTTTGTTTCACGTGGCATTTTGATAAACAGAAATAATTGTGTCTTCAAAGTATTATCACACAGAAAGAAAAGAGAAATAGTGTGAAGGCTCTTCTCTGTAAGTCAAACCAGAGGGAGGCACTTCCACATGGATTGTGGCTCTTCCTCTTATTTCTTTTGCTTTCCTTCTGCTTTTTCTTCTTTTTTTTTTCTTTTTGCCCCCAATAATTCGAAGAGATTACATATAGGTAACTTCTTACGGAACTATAGATGCCTAAATTCGTGTAATTACTGTAGTTATTTACTCAGCTTATCTTAATTGTCACCATCAGCTAACACAAGCCCAGTAAATACAGTTATCAGGAGGTCCCATCATGGTGTTATAAGCAAAGCATCGAGGCTGAGCAAACAGCAGGATTGGGATGCTTAACTCTTGTAGGATTTTTGTTTGCTTTTTAAATTAAGACTAATCTTTCCATCCTTGTTCCCTCTGCAGTCTTTGAAAGCAGCTGTCACTAAATAGACACGTGGGAGCGTAGTTGAGAGCTGGGAAACTGGAAGAGTTTTGGAGCAGGTGAAGCAAAGAAGGAATTGTCCTGCAGTGAAGCTCTGGGGCACGTGTAAATCTGCAGCAGATTTTAAGAAGTGATAGAAAAATAATTTCTAGTCACAGAACAGAGTTAGAAATACAAAATCCTGGGCAGCACTGAAAAATGTGAATAACCTGCCTCCCTGAATGTTAATTTTTGCCACTTTGTGGAGTGTTGTTTTTAACAAGTTGATCTGAGGGTTCACAACCTACAGTGTTGTTCTTTAAAATACTTTCCCCACCATTCACTACCTAAATTAAATGGATTATTTGGCCTCAGCCCTTCATAAATGCTTTCAAAGTTACTCCTGACCAATCTTCCCCCCTTCCTCTCCCAGTTTTCAACAGCTGCCCTCCCTATTCTTCTTTAGACCTCTTCTTCCATTGACCTGTTTTTTCTTCCTTCTCCTTTCTTCCTTTTTTACCTCTTTTTTCTTTTCAGTTTGGTTTTACTCCCTGTTTACAGCTCTAAGGTACCTGGGGCTGTGTGACAAACTTGATAAATCCAACTCTAGTATTATGTGCAAAGACTTTTGCTCTTTGGAAGTATTGCAGTATCTGTGGAAAGAACATTAATATAATCAAAAATAACTGTGCTTTCAATAGATCACTAATGGTAGGAATCTTGAGATCTTTTATTATTTCCACAGTGTGTGTTCCAAACTTTGCCTGTTCATTTGTAAAACAATGGCAATGGATAGATGAAAAATGCTGAAGTGATTAACATCTTATACCTTTGGCAGTGTGCACACATTAAAACCTTAATTGTTAATTAAAGTGTTCACTGCAGCTTGTCATCAGTTAAGCAATTAAGGTTTACTTGTTACTGCTTGTTCCTAACTCTTCCCAGTCCTCATCCTTCATCTGTTTAAAATCCTTCAGCTTTATTGCTGATACTGCTTGTTTTGGCTCTACTGAGTCATATTGGCACTTGGTACCAATTCTGTAGCTGGTGAAGTTTCAAGATGAATTCCACGTGTGATTTGCTTTAACTTGGGCTGTCACATCAGCTGATTGATGCTGCATCATGGATTCCCTGACAATGGCCCTTAAACGTTCCTTTGGAATCAGGATTTTTTTTAGCTCTGGATGTAAATTGCTCTTTATCACAGGCAGTACCTGGGCTGGCAGCCAAGAGGGTGCCAGGGAGGAGGTGTGTTTGTGTGTGTCTGATCTCCAGGTGGTCCTGAGATCCCACCACTGGCACAAGGGCAGAATTTCTGGATACCACGACCCTCAAGATCCTCCTGGTTCCCTCTGCCACCGAAATCCTGACAGGGCTGATTTCCAGGGACTCGATTTTTGATTCTGCTGACGGCCAAATAAATTGTAGCAGTTCATTACTACCTCCAGGAACGTGGCTTTTTTAGGCTTTTCTTAAAAATCCATAATGATTCTTCCTGCTGATTTATTCTGGCACCTTTTTTTTTTTTTATAAGCTTCCTATACAGGATAAAACATTTTCTTCTCCAGCTGCCCCGGAGGTCTGTAACAAAGCAGCAGAGCTGTCTTTTATGACTTGAACTTAAATCCAGGTCTCAAATCTAATTTAGCCTACATTTAAATGTGTTCTACTGTGTCAACTCCAATGGTACATGTAATATCACTTCCCTCTGCCTGTGACTTCCACTCCTTGCACACTGTGGCTCCTTTAGCTTTATTTTGTGTTCTGGACACTGATGTTTTCAGGCTGACAGTGCCTCTTGTTTCAGCACCACAATGCTGATTGCTGATTATATCCCTGTGCTTCAGCTTC